TTATATATTGTTAGTTATCATAGTATTTAACTCATGTTTATTTGTCGATATTGTTTTATTAAATAATAAAGAGTTTAGTTTTGGGAAATTGGTCACAGTAGTGTGAATCATAAAATAAAAAAAAATAAAAAAATATCGCTAAACATACCTGGGTAGGCATGGCTGGTGTCTGCGGCTGCGCATTGGCTATCGCTGCCAAATACATCAAATTCTTTTGAAGCTGAGCCTGATACCTGATCACCCATGATCCAAACAAGTACAAGGCCATGCATATAGATTATTCTTCAGATAAAAACAATGTACTCATTTCTCTAGTCAACAATTTGGGAGTTTCAACACAAGTGGCTATTTAAACATCATCCCCAATGATTAGACTACCGGTAGTTTTTAAATTGCATTAGTCAGTAAACTACACAAAGGCCAATCTAAAACCAACAATTCATTAGAATTCATACATTCATAACAAGTAAGAAGACCGAAACATCGACAGAGAGGAAGAGAACCACATACTGGGCACACTCAGCAAGTTTGCCAAGATTCTGATTGTCCAAAATTGCCAGTATCAGTTTCTTGTTCTCATCAAGGTACTGCGAAAGACAACAAGGTCATATATCAAGAACGTGAATTATTAGGAAAATCTGATCGTCAAAACTAGATAGTACTAAGGTAATTAGTAATTCTGTCAAAATTAATACAAGAAATACTGGAAATAGGGTACTAAGAGCATCTCCAATGGCTCGATGTGTATTTTGAGATGTATGATGTGGAGAAAGGAAAAGAAAATATTTTGTCTCCAATGGTTAATCTCAATTGTGAGATAATTTGACACATGTAATATAATAATTGGTTGGTAGAAACATAAATATAAAATAAATAATAAAATATTAAGTGGAAGATTTCTAGAAGTCTTTCTACATCTAGAAAGACTTCTAGATTTATTGAAAGCCACGTTGGATTTTGGAGGTTATGTGGCAATGGAAAGAGAACAATTCATGTACCATTGGAGATGCTCTAAGGTATATAGAAGGAAACAGGCATCTGTCATATTCATGATAGCTGTTGATTATTTGTTCACTTCCGCATGCTCGATCCATGATGGAGACGAGATCGCTCTCGCCTATTTGCACAAATACGATCGGCTCCGGCTCTAGTTTATTTATTTATTCATATTCCTCTTATCATTATGCTTTATTTAGTTGGCAAGAATATATTTAATATCTAGTATAGTTATAACTTGGTAGGCAAGATGGGAAAGTAAGAAGTTTTAGAAGACTATTAGGATCTATATATCTCTTATTCTTCATCTAACCGATCGGTTAGCTTTGAATAATATAAGACATTTTGAGACTTGTTCTTTTTTGTCCCTTTCTTAACGATGCGCTAAGATCTGAGATGCCATCAAAACGGAACAATCTGAGATGCCACCAAAACGGAACGACACTGCAGATGATCGGCGCGACACCGCCATCGAATCCCTCACTCGACGCCGAGGGCTTCGGAAAGCGATTGGTCGTGAGATGTCGGACCTTGGGGTGGGCATGGAGGAAATTCGATTTGCTCTGCAAACGATGATGCAACGCGATCAAACGAACCGCGACGGGCTCGATGGATGAGGCGGTGCCGCGGAGGAGAGCGGCGATTCTGATGCCACGGTGGAGGAGTTAAATTCCTTCGAACATGAAGATCCACATAAAGAAGAGACGCGGCTGGTGACCGGCGCTGGGAGGGGTCTTTTTGCGTGGACATTTACGGGAGGGCTCGATGCAGCCGAATTTCTCGATTGGCTAGCAGCGGTCGAGTCGGTCTAGGAGTAGATAGTCGCTGTAGGCCTTGTCGCCACGCGTTTGCCCGGCCGGGCTGTTGCATGGTGGCAGCACCTGAAGGACTCACGGCATCGGCTCAGGAAACCGAAGATCTCATCGTGGGCCAAGTTTCGTAAACATATCGAACGTTTCTCCTGTTTAATTTTGCTCATACCATGTATCACGAGCTTCAGAATTTGCGACAAGGCGCAAGATCCGTTGATGACTATACAAATGTTTTTTATCGTCTTCTCAACCTAGTTCTCAACCTAGTTGATGTACGTGAG